ATCGGTTTTACAAATTATTATGCTAGATTTATACCAAACTTATCCAAAATTCTTCATCCTATTTACCAGTTGTTAAAAAAAGATCATGTTTTTAACTGGACAGATCATTGTGAAAGTAGTTTTAAAAAACTGAAAGAAATAATTTCTTCTGACACAACTTTAGTGCACTTCAATCCTAAATTTCCAATACTTGTTACAACGGATGCAAGCAGGAAAGGCATATCTGCTGTTTTAAGTCACATCATTGATGGTGAAGAGAGAACCGTTACATGTGTGTCCAGAACTCTTTTACCATCAGAAAAAAATTACAGTACAGTTCATATTGAAGCACTGGCAATCTACTTTGCAGTGAACAAATTTTACCAATATGCGTGTGGAAATGAATTCATTTTAAGGATAGATCATAAACCACTTATAACAATCTTTGGTGAACACAAAAGCATTCCTCACATGGCTACTAGCAGACTGCGACGATGCGCTACATTTCTTTCCATGTTTGACTATGAAATCCAATATATTAAAGGAAACAATAATCCAGTCGCTGATTATTTATCCAGGAAACCCCTACTACCAAAAGGAAATCTGGAGAATTCAACTGACATCTACATCAATTTCACCGAAAGAACAGAAGACTGGCAAGTAGATAATGCAGAAGTACGACGTCAAACAGCCCTTGATACAGAACTCCAGAAGGTAATTCAATACATGAGAAAGAATAGATGGCCGAAAAAAATCGACACAGTGTTGAAGCCATATTACCACAGAAGAAATGAGCTGTGTGATGAAAACGGAATCCTAACATGGGGGCACAGAATCATTATTCCAAGAAGTCTGAGAGAGGCACTGTTAGTGGAACTGCACACATCACATTTCGGAATGGTGAAAATGAAAACCACAGCCAGATCTTTGTTATATTGGCCAAACATTGATAGGGACATTGAAAACATGGTGAGATCGTGTTCCATATGCTCAGAAAACAAACAAGATCCTCCAAAGGCTCCACTGACAGCCTGGCCTTTGGCAACGAAACCTTTCGAAAGGGTGCATATAGATTTTTTGGGACCTATAAAAGGGGGGATGTATNAATGAATTGAATTGCAGAGGACATATGAGATCTCTGAGGCACTTCACAACAGAATTACAAAAGAAGTACCACCACTTCTGTTGTATACTGTTTGTATTTGCCTCCACACAGGCGAGCATGCGCACAGATACCTTCAGGGAGGTGAATTCGGGATGCCATGTAGAGAACAATGGAATGTTAGTTGTGAGGAAAAGTGAAGTAAAACCTGATAAACTAGTGTTGGAAGTATTATTTAACTCCCGGCCCATCTTCAGACATAACAACTTCAATCTTCATTGATAGAAAGTTGCCATAATCAATAAATTGAACTCCATCACGAATATAGCGTTCTGTTCGATGTGAAATATCTTTCTCTTACCCAATGCTTCGAGCCTAGCAATCAGTAGGGTATTATTGATTCTCTCGAAAGCCTTAGAAAAATCATTGTATATAGTATAGTAGTGGATTTTCTTTTAGAGAATCCACGTTGTTGACTTAAGAATGATGTATTCAAGATCATGAGAAAGTTATCTGGTGATGGTACAAACCATCATTTTAGGTAATTCTGACTGTAATTTTCAACATTATCACGAAAAAAAAATTTCATGAATAGGTTTGATATAGCTTTGTTTCCGGAAGTCACAAAATGTTCCGGTTTCGAAAAAGTAATTGGATAATCAATAAATTGGTTTCGCTGATGTGAAGATACAATTTTTGAGCAGATGTAGAGGTATGTCATCAGGAACAGTCGGAATTCTATATGATCATAACAGTACCAAATCTATAATTTTGTTGATATCTATGATATAATAGTAGACATCAGGTATCTTGTGGAAGTTGTATTGAGGAACTTCATTTACTATGGCATCATCATAAAGAGTTGAAAAATATTTCAAGGAAAGATTGACCACTTCATCGCTTACAAGAATATTCATTAACCATAGAGAAAGGGAGGTTATGAAACTATTTTTTACAATAATGTATCTTCAGATGTATCCTCAGATAGCGGAAATATTATATTTTGTTCCAGATATATATCTTTGCTAGCACTCCACTTGTATTGCTACCAACATTGAACAACTGAATGGATCACACCGTTTCAATATTTCATAATTTCCGTTTCAGATTTCAAGTTATCAGACTTTTCCAAAAGACAAAAAAATTAATGCAGAATTCAGTCAGTCATTGAGGTACACAAAAACACTATAAAATAAAAAAGCTGAAAGTCTATCTACAATTTTCTTTGACGGAGATTGACTGAGGCACATAACATTCTCAAAATGTCGTTGGATGTTTCTTTATTTTCCAACCGATTGTATTCCAAATATTGTGAAGGAATATTCTGAATGTCAGTGGCTTTTAGTGAAGTGCAATCTCGGTTGAAAATTGAATGGGAGAACAGAGACCCCAGTATCATCAATCTAGTGAAACATGCAGTAGCCTGGGGGATTTGTGAAGTAATACAATTCGTTCTTCTTCGACTTTCTGAATTCTTTGTGATGCTGAATTCAATTTACATTTTTATTCGATAAAGCCAACGTAAAAGGTAATTACAATATAATGTTGACTATCCAAAACTTCGAGGGGTTCAGATATAAAATTAAATGAATTTCTTTCGTCAATATTATTCCAATTCGATTAGCTACATATTAATGACTTTTATTGGAGAGGTTGGAATATGATAATAGAACATTGCTTCTGAAATAAACTTTCATCAAGTTCGAGAAAGAGCATAAGGGGGGTTATAAAAAATTGTCTCAGCCGAGAAATTTTCGAAGGAAGTGTATAATGCTATCAGTAAACAATCACATGCAATATTGATAATATCTTCATTGTCACCAAACTATTGATACCATCGTTATTGTATGAGCAATAATTCTGGATTTTTTTGTTTCCTACTGCGGATTGAAAAATCTGTTCAGCCCAGCCAATAGATATATAACTACAGTTGATAGAGCAGAGCATTTTTCACCATATCATTATTATATACTCCAGATTTTCTGAGACACTGAGATAACTTCAAAAAATTGCAATTATTTCTGGAGCATCTGAATAGCCCATTAATCAACTCCAGTATGACGTAAGTCGTTTTGACAATTGAAATATCTCCAAAACTTCAAAGGTGATTTAAAAAATATGGTCCTATGACCTGATCCCTAATTATACCCTCCCAAACATTCATCGACCATTTGTTTTGATCATCAACTTCTCTCATCCAAAGGAGTTCTCTGTTGAGTAGTATTTTCTATTTGAAACAGAAAACAAAACATATTTCAAAATAGTCCGACCTTCGATAAATGAATTCAATGAATATTCGCAATACTGAACTCGTATCATGATCCGTTTCATAGAGTTCTTGATGTTAAAAAATTCAGTACGGGGATGAACTTTATTTTTGATCAACATTCTGTTCACGGAAGTATGACTTGAATCCAACTCTCTTGTATTCCAACTCGTACTTATATAAGGATTTTCAACTCATTAATTTTCTTTGTTGAAATTTTACTTACTACTTGCCTTTTCTAATGTTTGACACTGTTTGTTCCTTCAAATCTTTCTTTAACCCCTCAAAAACCGTCTGGTCGTATAGACCTCAAGTTAGGGTATCGTACAGCATACATTCCACTGGCTGATGAACAATATATAAATCATATTGATCATTTTACGGTAGACAATTTCTTTTCGAGGAAAAAATAGTAGATTTGACTACTTTAATCAATCCCTACATCTTCTAAAAGCTCATAGTACTAAAATTTGATTTTTTGAAACGAAAATATTGAGAATGAAAAGCCAACAATAATTTATTATTTCCAAAATTCCTATTTATGGATCAGTCTGATGAGAATATACAATGAGTTATGTACAAAATCTGGGACACTACCCAGAACGAATATGAACGAATATGTTCTGTTCATTACATGGCTGGTGAATAAAAACAATAGAATTTGATACCTTTTTGAAAACTTTACAATCAGCTGTGCCTCAGACTATGTATTGGTGGTGGTGAACGTGTTTAATGGATGTGTCAAACAAAGAGTGCGTTGAGGGATGTACTTCCAGCTGAAAAAACCAGCTGCCGAACCCCTACAAACGACAACCCTCAGAAGTCTAAACTTGTGCGAGCTAAGGATTAACGAGGTCTTACCTCCTGAAGTGTGATTCCTAACACAGGTTGGACGATAGCAAGTGAAAGTCGATCGTTCATACTAGGGCTTGAACCACCGACCAACACGACAGTCAATTCGAGTGAGCACCCACGTTGAACCGCCTGGCTAGCGACCGACCGGTAGGTCGGTCTTATTGATACAACAAATGGAATGAAACTGTTATTTAAAATTGATTTTATCTTGTTCCGTTCTGATTGTTGAGCCCAACCAAAAAGATACTTCACTGATTTGAGCAGTTTTTTTCTAGTAGCAGATTCTTGAAATGCTTTATACCGCCAGTTGTTATCGACTCACTTTTTAATCACTGTCAAAGTGTGAAAAAAAAACATTTGAATGAGAAAGTGTAGCACATTAATATAATTATACATTTTGAAACAATCTTACATATATCGATATCATTCTACCAACTTGATTTTCCATATTAATATTCCATAACAAATCATAAATTTCCACAGATGAAATGAAAAAATAAACTCTTTCCGAATGATTGTCCAAGCATTCACATATATTTCGAGAGGTTGATTTAAGCCGATTTCGGAACCTCACCCCACTACTTCTGACCATGAAATGAATTCGACCTATTCCACACGGCACAGACGAGGTGACTTTGAGGTAAAATTCTGGGTTTGATCTTGAACAATCTTAATTGATACAAGCACCCTATTTTCGATAAGATGAAATGTATTCAGAATGAACTCGAGCCAATTACGCGGCTCTCTTGACGATTTGAGAGTTTCACCTTCAACAACCTTCAACTCCGTGGACCAGGTGACTTCTAGAGTAATATTTTCAATGAGGTGACTTCAACCATGAATGAACTTGAGCAAAGTTACGTGGGTATTTCGTTGAAAGAAGAGAGAGAGAACGCCTTCTCTATCGTCTTTGCTCAAGAAGAAGAAAAGTTTGGACGGTGGAAGCAGAAAATTTTTAGATTGATTACCAGTTTTCATGTCGATTTCCTTGGGGTGGAATTGGAATGAAAAATCAACTATCATTCAAAACAAGGAATTTGAAAGACATATCCTGCATGTAATAAACGGAGGAAGAATATTGTATTGTAATGAAACTGAAGCCGGCCCTGACCGATATCTCAGCTAGCAAATAAACACATGACTCACTACGAACCGTCGCGAAAAGTATAGATGAGTACCGAAACCACTAGAGAAATCTAGAGCGATCGTTACAGATATAAAAGGCCGGCTTTTCGACCAGAGATGGCAGTATGAATTCAGAAAACGAATCGAGCGGAAAACAAGGAATTCGAATAGTGGAGATGAATTAAGCGTTAGTTGCTAAGTGTTGAATATAAATTAGTTTGTGATAGTGAAATATTGTTATGAATGAATAAATTTGTTCAAGACAGTAAATTCTTTAATTCGTTACATTTGGTGATCAGAAGTGGATTACTAAAATACATTTGTGAGTGCTTGGTGGACACTCTTTGTATTACGGTAAAATTGACTATAAGACTTATTTGTTCGCGTAGAGACTGGTGATTCAGTGTGTTTCGCGAAGTGGACAATACCAGACTACGGAAACATGAACGGATAGACTTTTCTCGCGGAAAATGTGTAAATAAGTAAGTGTTTCGAATTCTATTGAAATAAGTCGTATTCAGTTTTGTGGAAAATGGACAATAAGAGACAAAATGTGTTAGAGAAAAGTGCGCCTAGTGGACTTGAAAGTCGCCGAATTGAAGCACGAAATGAAGGAGAAAGAGCTAGATTCTTCCAGAAAGAAACAAATACTCCAGAAGAGACTATGGGATAACTTGATTGAATCAGGAGAAGAACCCGAAGCATATTTATTCGAAGTTTCTGACGGTGATTTGAGTTCAATAATGAGCAAACAAGATGAAC